ACTCCAGAAACCACTAAACAGCTCATCCAGTCCCTCATCATATCACGACTCGATCACTGCAACTCCCTCCTTACTGGCTATTCCCGCTTCAGTCGATCCTGAATACGGCTGCCAGACTCATTCACCTTTCCAACCGCTCCATTTCTGCCACCCCCCTCTTCCAATCTCTCCACTGGCTTCCGATTGTGCAACGGATCAAATTCAAAATCCTAACACTGACATACAAAGCTGTCCACCATACTGCCCCGAACTACATCACCGACCTAATATCCAAGTACCACCCAACACGCACACTCCACTCCTCACAAGACCTCCTTCTCTCTAGTTCCCTGGTCTCCTCCTCCCATGCCCGCCTCCAGGACTTCTCCAGGGTGTCACCCATCCTCTGGAACTCCCCACCCCAACCCATCAGATTATCACCTACTCTCCTCTCCTTTAGGCGCACCCTGAAAACCCACCTCTTCAGGGAAGCCTACCCCACCCCCTGCTAACTTGCCGACCTCCTCCACTCTTCCTACCGCTCCATCCCCCACAGCTTTCTCCTCCTGTGCCACCATCCCCTCCCTCCTAGATTGTAAGCGCGAAAGAGCAGGGCCCTCGATCCCCTCATGTTTTGCATTGTATTGTATTGTTATTGTTCTGTCCCCATTGTAATGTACAGCGCTGAGCAAACTATTATACTTTATAAATACTGTATAATAATAATAATAATTGTGTGGGTAGATCCTGTGGCTAACAGATAAGGTTTTCTTAAAATCATAATCTATTTTCAGTAAGTACATAATTTAGTTTATTTTTGTTGAGCATACCTTGAAGTCATTTTTGACATGGCATTCAAATTTGTACACCTTTCACATACAGAGTATTTGTCATAGCCTTAATGTAGATTTGTAGATTAGCCACTAGATGCACGGTAGATTAGCTGCTGCAATGACTGCTTAAAGCAGAATTAAATCCAAATCAAATTTTTATTACATTGCAGCTTACCAATTCTCAGATGTGTTGGCTGCATTATTTTTCTTTTTAGGCTTTCTTCCATTTTCATCTGGTGATCCAGCCAGCAAGTCTGTTGTTTTTAAAAAGCTGTCCAGCAGACTATATCAGTTTACATGGATGAGACAAACTATTTAACATTGGCAGGGATAGTTAAAATGATCAGCTTTTTATTTTTTAATGTAAAACCTTTATCCCAAAAGGAAATAACTGTTTGCTGTAAGAGTTTGAGTATACAGTGTCAGCTGTAGTTTGGATTTAAGTAGTTATTGTATTCGAATCCGCTAATACATTTACCCCCCCCCCCCTTCCCTGACTGGCAATGCTGCTGTCTGATGTGCCTCCCGTGCTCATTCATCCAGAGTTGTGTCCCACTAATATAGGAGGTGTGTTTAATAGCCAGATCACCAGGTGAAAATAGAGGGGAAAAAGCCACATCTATTGATTCATAAGCTGCAATATATTGCATATATCATATATAATATAAACAGGGCTGATATTCTGCTGCTCCCCCCATAGACTGTCTTTGCAGGAGCACTGCCAGGAGCACCGATGACATTAGAACTGGAAAGAAGGAGCTGTTCTATCAGACTAATGTTCTGGTCCACCTAACCAAAAGGCCTGAAGGACTCTCCTCATGGCTAGCCAAAGCCAACCACCAAATACTATTTATGTCATTATTATTTATTACAGGTACTTATATAGCACCAACAATTTATACAATGATTTACATGTATACTGTATATATTGTACATTCACACCAGTCTCTGCTCTCAAGGAGATTACAATCTAAGGTCCATCACTCACATTCATACACATATTGTACTAGGGCCAATTTAGACAGGAGCTAGTAAACCTACCAGCATGTCTTTGGAGTGTGGGAGGAAACTTCTCTGCACAGTGAGAACATGCAAACTCCAGGCAGGTAGTGCCATGGCTGCGATTCATACCAGTGACCCTAGTGCTGACAGATGGAAGAACTAACCACTTTGTCACTGTGCTGCCCAAGATTAGGGGCTCTCCCAAAGAGAGACTCCAAAGACGGGGAGAGAAAGGATGCACATTTTCCCCCCTAGACTTCAGGGAAGGCCCAAAGACCAGCACCCTACCATTCTTGTGGAAGTGAAAAACATAGAAAAAAGTGAAAGTGTCACATACATGGAGAAAAATAAATAAGGTGCCAATGTGCAGGACAACTACTATGCCTTGTGGTCTGATAATAAACTGTCCCTGATCTATGCATACAGACTCACAAATCAGTTGCAAAATATACATGAAAAATTCAATAACAAGTGTGATTTCCTGAGCAGTGGACACTGCAGAATCTAAAGGCATGCTACATGAGTGATGGAGTACCTAATGTAGTGATCTTGCCCTATGCTTTTGTGACCCTTATTATATTTAATATGTGTTACTGTTAGACTGTAACCAGGCCAAAGCCGGGCCATAAATGGTTTGAATCTCAGCTGGTTCAGAAGGTTCCGGACGAGATTCAAACCATCTATGGGCAGGCAGATTAAACCCAAATCGATTGTTGTATGACTTGGGTACAACCAGCCTGTCAGATTTTTCATGTGATTATTGCCATTGGCTATAGTGGCTACTAATAACCACTGTGCTGGATGGAGTCTTTAGGAATTTTCTGTGCTAAAAATTAAGAGTGTCTCAGAAGGTCTGTGTTGAAGTTGCTAGCAGACATTGCAATGAGGATTCCCTCCCAACTAATCTAAGTACCTATGGCTGCTATCACAAAGGTCAAGGGACAAATTGATTAGAGAAAGATCTATTGCAGCTTAAAGTCTGTGATTGCTTTTGGGATTATAGATCTGCTTAGCTGCTATCATCCTTAAATGACCTATTACTATTACTGCTACCGTCAGAATACCTGTGTTATTATGTGCTCTTTTTGGATATCCTGTACCTCTAAAATCTTTTAGCAATAATAGTAAAAAAATTAAAATGACTGGTGCCCAACTGATTTTTCACCCACCATACAAAGACCAGACTCTGGTTTTGAAATGTTAGTCTACCACAATGCTCAGAGGTCATTCTGCAACACCCCAAGAAGAGTACTGCAATTTTGGTACCCAATATGAGCTTTGATTAACTTTTTTTCCAACTTTCCCATAACAACCAACAGCAATGTGTGAATTTAATCGCTTTCACTGTGGACTCTTTTTGAGAAAATGCAAGAAAGGACTGTCACAAAGCTGTACTTTATTGTAGGGAGGTGTATTTTCTGCTGTAGAGCAGTGGTCGCCAGATGTGGCCCTTTGCTTACTTTTATCCGGCCCTTGGGGCACTATTTCTTCCACTGATACCAACATTGGGGCATAATTTCACCCACTGACACCAATGAAGTGGCACACTTCCTCCCAAGGACACCCAACAATGTGGCAAAATTCCTCCCAATGACACAGAAGATGGGGCATTGTCTATTTCCACTGATGTGAGGACCTTTTCTACTCCCAACAGCCACATTCTGGCCCCCCTAAGATCTGAAGGACAGTAAACTGGCCCTTTTTTATTAGAAAGTTTGGAGATCCCTGCTGTAAAAGATTGCTGGTATTTGTTGCTATGGCCAGTGATCTGAGGGTTCATTTATGTAGGAGACTGAGCTATAGAAGTTCTAGCAGTTAGTCTTGGTTTCAGATTTGTGAAGAAGACAGGCAGAGCTACTGACCTGATTACATGTAAGCAGTTTACAGTGCAGAAGACATCTCACTTGGGACGAGTGGGTACTTAAAGTGGTTGTAAAGACTGAAGGTTTTTTATTCTATGTATGGTAAAAAACCTTCTGTGTGCAGCAGCTCCCCCCAGCCCCCCCAACACTTACCTGAGCCTCAACATGATTCAGCGAAGTGAATGACAGCCTCGGCTGTCCTGGGTATCTGCCTCCTCATTGGCTGAGACAGCAAGCGGGAGCCACTGGCTCCCTTTGCTGGCAGTCACAGCCAGTCAGCCAATGAGGAGAGAGAGGGGGCAGGGCCAAGCCTCAGCTACGTGTGTGAATGGACACATGGAGCAGCAAGTGCCCCCATAGTAAGCTGCTTGCTGACAGACAGGAGGAGCCAGGAGAGCCTGTGGGGGATCTGAGAAGAGGAGGATGCAGACTGCTCTGTGCAAAATCACTGCACACAGTAGGCAAGTATAACATGTTTGTTATTGAAAGAAAAAAAAATGATCCTTTGGAATCACTTTAACTTTGAAATCAACTGGACCCAACACTCCTGAGTCTTTTGACTTAGATGTCCGATGCCACTAACAATTAACCTATTAATTAACCTAATTAACTGAAGTAAGGTTAGCACCAAAAGGGAATTTCCTACTTTGCATCATACATGGGATTGTACATACAGTATGTGGATAGCCTATGGGAAGTTTGGAAAAATGTCAGCGACAATCTAGGCCTGATGTTATTGACAGTTATGAGGAATTTTACTGGAAATGCTACTTAATCTCTCTCCCAGTATTTTCTGAGTCAACTGGACCACAGGTAACACCTGCTTGGAGACCTCAGAACCAGCCTCATTGCTACAGATCCATCTGCACACCAAGTCACCAGAGCAGCTGAACTTGCGCCTGAGAGGTCTACAACATAGCTGGCCTTGACCCAGAGATCAGCCCATGATTGAGGGACCTTGACTGACAAACTGTGAAGAACAGGAGGAAAGACCATTCCTACTGAATGCACTGCTCTAAATGAAATTGAGTCCTCTGGGGTTTTAGTGGAGAATAAGAATCCCCTAGAGGGGGTATCTGGCAGGGCCATACAGCCTAACAGCAACAGAGGTGGGGGGAAATGTCAGAGATATCCTGCTCTGAATGATCATGGGAAGAGATTATAGAGGCATAACTAAAGGAAAGTAGAAACTGCTGTACAAATGTTAGAAAACTCAAGGACTGTGCTTGTAAAAAACTGGTCAGGAGCATAGACTAGAGTGTTTTCCACCATGAACTTTAACGGGGCAAAACGTGTCAGAGGGCATGGCTGGAGTGGTGGCCATCAGGGGCGGACTGACCATTTGGAAACTCTGGCACTGCCCGAGGGCCCGGGGTCAGTAGGGGGCCCCCTGAGATGCCCCTGGTACCTTTTTCATAGACTTTTTTGAGTTTGGGCAAGGACACAGGGGCCCCATGATCCCCTATTGCCCGGGGGCCCCATGAGTTGTCAGTCCGCCCCTGTTGGCCATCCTGCATACCAGACTTCTGGGGCTGGTCTGAGCGGCGTCCATTCCTCTATTGCATAGAAGTCACTGTTTGCTCTCTGTTTGTTATGTTGAGGACTGAACTGTTTGGTAAAAGTAGGTGGCAAATTGGACAAGTGCCATTCAAAATGAATGTTACTGCAACACACTGCATTATGTTTCATGTGTTGCCATGAGAATGTAAAGTGCATGTGCCTTACTGTAATGCACTAGTATAAACATTTGCTAATTCTTAAAGGGCAGTAAATGAGCTTTAAGTGACCTTTGTAGTTACAGACACTGTGAAGCAGTTCATCCTCAAAGTTTACAGCAAAATTCATTCAAATCACTCTCTCAACAACTCACCCCCTGCCAGAGTTCCTGCTCTGTTTTACATTACAGAGTGAAAGGCTGTCTATTCACAGCTGAAAGGGGGGAACAGGGTGAGTTGAGCTTCCAGGCAGAAGATTTTAGGGTTTCTACTTTGAAGATTTCCTTGTGTGTCAGCAGCTCCAGAGGGCAGTGAGGGCTTATTTTAAACTTAATTTACTGCCTCTTAAAGCTGAATTCAAATCAGCTGAAAAAAGTCAGCATGAAGTCTTGTCGCATCCTTCCTCCCCCCCCACACACATACACACACACTGCAAGTGTTAATTGCTTGTTTCATTTATAGAGTAATGAATGAGGTGAAATACTTTATTTCTTGCTCCCCAGCAATGGATGACCATTACCTAGCTACAATTACACTTTATAATAACATTGAATCCCTTGATTCTAGTTCTGCACAATTCTAAGCTGTTTAAAATCACACTTACATGACAGCTGCCTGTTACTCTTACTGCATCTATTAAACCTTGAGAAAAATAATAGACTTTTTACTGCTACATTTTCTTGCACTAAGGTCACAAAACGACCAATAAAACTCTACAGTTGTAACTGAATTAATTGTTACAACTACAGATATGCGAGAAACTGCTTATGTCTCCTATGAAATTAGTATTGTATAACGTATTTCACCCATTCTGACATATCTCCTAGGATAGCCTCTGGTCATAAACCTATTAACCTAATTTTTACCTTCTTAGAAACACCCTAACCTGGTCTTTTATACAAGGAAATTCTAATTAATGCTAGTGGATATTGTATTCTGCCACTGAAAGGTCATTTGTGGCTGCGGGCACTAAAATATGCTATTGTTACTCCCAGTTTGACAGGCAATGCACTAGAGAAACATAGATAAAATCCATTTGTTAAGAAATTAAAAAAACAGTTATTTATCTGTTATAGAATGTAGCATTTCTGACACTTCCACTATCAACCATTATAGGATTTGTTGAGATGAAAATGATGTACGCACATTCTCAGATTATGCTTGTGTGTGAATGATTCTTTTTGCTTCTGTTATTATCACGTTTTATCACACTATTATTGAATAGCTGATATTTGTGAATCAAACCTGCATGGTATTAATACTTTATTCATTATAGAATATATTGTAGGACCTCTTCATTAACCCCTTCCCAATAGGTGTACACATATATACGTGTTCACGGAATTGGGTCATCTTCCATGGGTTCGCATATATATGCTCCTCTGTGCTTGTGCTGAGAGGGAGCCCCCAAGCTCTTCCCGAGAGCTCTTGTTCTCCTACTAATGGTCGGAAATTTGGAGGCCTGGTTCTCAATTATCTGATTGCTGTGATAGAATCTGGTTGGCTATCACAGTGATCAGTCATTGTACAGCTCACACCTGTATTTTTTTTTTTTCTCCTCTTGACTGGACGAAAAGATATACCTCATCTTTTTCTCCTTTCCTAGAGGAGAAAAATGTAAACAAACAACAGTGTGCGTTAAGAGAAAATAATTTAACCACTTCCATACCGGGCACTTTTACCCCCTTCCTACCCAGGCCATTTTTCAGGTTTCAGCGCTCTCACACTTTGAATGACAATTGCGCGGTCATACAACACTGTACCCAAACTAAAATTTTATCATTTTCTTCACACAACTAGAGCTTTCTTTTGGCGGTATTTAATCACCACTGGGGTTTTTATTTTTTGCTAAAGTAACAAAAATTTAGACTGAAAATTTTGAAAAAAAAACCCACGTTTTTCTTTGTTTCTGTTATAAAAGTTTGCAAAAAATATAACGCAGGTCTGCAAAAAATTTTTCTTCAAGAGCTGTTTTGGTTATTCCACGTAATCTTTATGTTATTTGGTGCGCTGAATCCGAAAATGACCTCCATTTTGTCATAGGACATCAAATTTCCTGTCAATTTAGGTAACTATGTTAAATAAGGCAATACCTCAAAATAAATGGAAATAGACTTATAAAATTAAAGTTTTATTACAATTTGTTCATGAAAATCCTTTTTTGAACTGAAATGAGCTCACCTACACACACTAAACTCAATTCTTCTTCCCTGTGAGGCTCCTCTTGCTGCATTTACGCTTGTTAGTAGCATCTGGAATGTCTCTCTGAAGCATCCAACAGTAGTCTGCCATCATTGTAATGCTCCATTTTCCCTGGTATCTCCTTTCCATCTCTTTAATGTTTTGGTGGAAACGTTCACCTTGTTCCTCACTCACAGCTCCCAAATTTTCAGGAAAGTAGTCAAGGTGGGACTGGAGGAAATGCACTTTCAAACTCATCAGGCAACCTAAAGCTTGAAATGCTTTCAGCATTCGTCCGATGATCTTTTTGTAGTGAGGATCTTTGTTATTGCCTAAAAATTTCTGTACGACTTCTTTAAACGCAATCCACCCTTCTTTTTGAGGATTCGTCATGGTATTGACAAACTCTTGATCAACTATAAGCCTTCTAATGTCTGGTCTGACGAACCCACCTTCCTTCAATTTTGCCTCTGACAGACCTGGAAACTTGGTGACCAAGTATTTTAAGCATTCCCCATCTCTTGGAAGTGATTTTATGAATTGCTTCATCAATCCCAATTTTATGTGGAGAGGTGGTAGAAGAACTTTATGGGAAGGTACCAAAGTTTCTCGGAGGACATTTTTTTCACCGACTGTTAGCACTCTCGGCTGCCAACTCTTCTTGGTCCAGTGATTTTGTGGGTCTCGACTGTCCCATAGACACAGAAAACAAGGGTATTTGGTATCCCACCCACTGGATTCTTCAGGAAAGATTAACCCCTTCTACCATTAGAAGCACAGACTCAGGGCTGAGGCTTACACATACAGCATGCTGCTGAGTATCCCAGTAGTCAGACATGTCACTCAGAGCAGCACTTGTATTCACCCCCTTTGCAGGGGTGGAGGGGCAGAGATTGTTTACAAATAACAACAAAGGGCCAGAAGAGAACTAGGGAAGTGAGGAAATAGAATTTTTTTCCCCTAAAACTTGCTTAGCTTATTTATATATTGCTGACCATCAGATTTACAGTGCTATATTTTTTTTTTACATAACTCGGACAACCCTTTTTAAGGTTTTTTGGCATTTTATATCTTAAATGCACTTATGTGAATTAATTAATAGTAATTTGGACTTTTAATTTGGTTAAAAACCCATAATATAAAAAAAATACCAGAAATTAAAAACATTTGATAAATTTGAAGACAATTTTGCATTTTGTGGCAAATCATGACGTCTAGGAGTTTTTTCAATATTTTATTTGTTTTCAGCACACCAAAATACATGGAAATTAGATGAAAATAATCAAACAGCTTTTTAGTCGCAGACCTGTGCAATTGTTCTTCATAAAGTTAGGCCAAGATGTATTCTGCTACATGTCTTTGGTGAAAATAACCCAAATTAGGATGCATTTTTTAGTTTGTAGGACAGTTATAGAGTTCACAAACTATGGGATAGATCTGAAAATTGATCAATCCTGAAGTACTGACAGCCAATCTAATTTCTTGAGGTCCAAGAATGTCAGAACAGTACAGATATCCTCCAAATGACCCCTTTTTGCAAAGTAGACAGCCCGACGTACTTCATAAGAGGCATGGCGAGTTTTTTGAAGTTGTATTTTTTTTGTAATAATTTTTCAGAAAATTAAAAAATTAAAAAAATTATTTTCACCATTTTTTTTTTACATACTGTCACCAGTGCAGTACAGCGTCATCATATAACTAGCATGGTAGCGATCAGTGATAGTATGAAAAAAAAATATATAATTTAAAAAAAAAAAGTTTTTAATTTTTTTATTATTTTAAATTGTTTATTACATTTTTTTCTTTTTTTTAAGATTTTTTTTCATATTTCACTATGAACAAAGTAGTACAATGTTACCATAGCAACATTGTACTACTTTGGGGAAGTGATCAGTTTTTGTTTTTGTTTTTACACAATTTGCTTATAGCAAAGAATTACTTTGCTACAAGCAAGCATTTACATGAATGACATCGATTCATTCAGGGTTTTTTTTGTTTTTTTTTGTGCTTAGCTGTGATTTGGCACCGGCTAATCACATGACACAGCTGGCCTGTGATTGGCCCAGCTTGTGCATGTGATCACTGTGACTGTTCACAGCTAGACACACTAGTATACAATGGATGGCATGAATGAAGCCATCCATTGTATACAACTGTCACGTGACCGGCTGTGATTGGTCACAGCAGGTCACATGGTACTGGCAATGGGGCCGGTACTCAGATCTGTATTTGGCAGTGTCCGAGGTACACGGCCGGTGATAGATCGTGCTGCTGCGCGACTCTGCAGGTGCACACACTGCGCATGCCCGAAAGGATGCCATATGGCATCCACCCGGAAAGGTGAGTGTTTTTGCCGGCTGCCATTCAGCCACAGGCCGGGCGGGAACCGGTTAAAAAAAATAAAGATAAAATAGCTAGATCAGGGTTTGACCTAGGTCAGGGTTAGGGATAGGGTCAAGGTTAGGGTCAAAGGTCATAGTCAGAGTCAAAGGTCGGACTCAAATGGTCAAAAGCATTTTTTAATTTAGTATAATTTTCAGTGTTAGTGTCAGTGTGTTTTAGGTAAGATAAACAAGCAAAATGTTCTCTATTGTTTCTGGGCCCTAGTACAGGTACAAA